GGGTTAATGTGGCGTGAACAGCAAAGAGTTTGCCACATGCGTTACCGCGAACTTTCATGCCAGTTTTCTCTGGTTTTGCCCCTGGCCTTGGTCTTGCCCTGCTTGGGCTCTGGGCCCCTGGCCCTGGCCCTAGCCTTATGTTGCCTTGGCCCCCAGGCAAGGCTGTTCATGGTCTCTCCCAGCCCCCCTGGTCCGAGCAAGGCTGGTCACAATTCAGCCCTTGGGTTCCTGACCCTCAGAGGGCTCTATGGCAGGCGCCCCGAGGCACCTCTGTGGCCTCGTTACCACCCCTGTCAGCCACACCCAGTCCTCTAGTAAATCTGTGCTAGATGCAATGCCCTCTTAAACATCCTCTGGGGTCTCCCAGGGTCCCATCCATTTGGCCCATAGCTACTGGCTGTTGCAGCTTCCCTGGGTCCCAGTGCTGCTTGGGTTCCCTTTTGTTGTCACCCTGGCCAGCAGGAGGTCTGCTCTCAGACAGCTCAGACTTCTTCTGGTTGAGGGGGCAAGCTTTTAGTATTCTGGGCTCCGCCCCTTTTGCATCATGTGGCCTTCTCCTTGGTCAGGAGTTCCTAATTAGCCCACTACCCTGCCTGCCCTCATGTGTTACAGTTTAACCAAATGAGATGCAGCCGCTGCTCCCCAGCCCTACCACCTTTTACTTTTAGGGGTTCTCCCCAGCTGCTGGTCTTTCTTCCTGGTTCCTACCCAGCTGCCTACTTGGTTGCAGCCCTCCAATGCCAGTTTCTTATCTTTCAAGTAGCAGGGGGTAGGGGCCCCTGCTGGGGAGGTCCAGCCACTCATGGTGTCTCTCATTTCCCATGCCAACATACCAGGCATGAGCTGTTTGTCTTCTATGCTAGTGACTCTGGCTCCCACATGACCCGTCTTCTTGTCCCTGGTGGGATCAGATAGTTTCTGTACTTTAAGGTCCCAGCTCTTACTGATTCTGTTCCTGTGGACTCCATGGTCATCTCAGCTCCTCCCCTAGTTCAAAATTCTGCCCCTGAGGTCCATTTGGTTCATGGCCTCCAGGGGGCTGAGTTCTCATCTTTACACTTTATCACACCACAGCCTCTAGGTCTCCCGCCAACATCCTTGTACAGTTCCACAAATGTAACACTTACAATTTTCTTTTTTAACAGGCTCTTAGTAGTCCACCACTTTGTGTCACTGGGGAGGTATTATAAATATCCTTCTTCTACTCAGGATTTTTTCAATCTCAGCCCCCAATCTCTTACCTCCAGTGTTGGGGTAGTTTTCTTTTTCCCACCTCCTACCAGACTAGGTTCTAACCTACTTACCACCTTTCTGCTCTGCGGATTCTCTGGCTCTTGCAGTTGCCAAGACTGCCTCCCAGTAGCAGCTGTCCTCTTGTCCACCTCTCTCAAAGGCGCTGCTCCCATGGTTTCTGATCTCTGCTCACTTTGGGACATAGCGAATTTTCTTTCTTTGTTGGAGCTCCCTGGTTTTTGTTCAAAGCCCTCTTTGCTCTCAGGGACTAACCATTCTCCTGAGAGCTCAGTGAAACTTCCCCCTTGTTTCACCCCAGTTCAAGTTTCCTCAAAAATAAGTCCCTAATTTCCCCTCTGGAAGTCCTACACCCCTTATCACTTTAAAAGGGGGTTTGCTCCCAATGGGAGGAGTTCATATTTCAGTCCATGGACATTGCCTTGCTCTGTACCTGAATCCCCCACATTTAAGACCACCTATAACCCTGCTGGGGGGCCTACCTTTTGCCTTTGGGGGTGTGCCACCCATCTCCTCATAATCATTGCATTCTCCCACATCTGAGCTCTTCACTCTTGCCTCAGGTAGGCTCTTCCTTCCACCTCTAAGGATTAGACCTGCCTTAGTCAGGGCTTCCTCTCTGTCTCTGCAATTCATCTTCCAGCATCTTTCTCACCACCACTGCAGCCTGTTGCAACTTTGCTTATCGCTTCTCTGTCTCACTGCCTGTCCTATAGTGACTGAGATCAAGGCTGGCCCTCTTGCTGCCTGTTCTGGAAGTTACTCTTCCAAGAGAAACTGAATGTTTGTATGAGGATTTGGGAGGAGTGCAAGCATTGCATAAAGCAACCTTTGTACATCCCTCTCCATCTGTCTTGCATTTTGGGCTGAGGATCTGAGTATAATACAGGTGCCTGGAGACCCCAACAAGTTTATTTTACAGTCTGGGAAAACTAAATTAACCAAGTGAAAGGAAAGGAGTGGAAGGAAAAAAGGATCGTGGATGAGAGTACACTATTTTTGACTGAGGGGTGAAAACTTTTATTATAAAACACCACCAGTTATTGTAAAACTCCAGCTATTAAATGCCACATCTCCTGGCAGGGATTGAAGAGAGAGGGGACTGAGGATATAACAACATATGGAACTGAAGTAAATTTGTAGCAGGTGCTCTCATTTGCCTTGTTGCAATTAAATTGATCATCCAAGAAGTGACAGAAAGATTAAAAAACAACAACCTACTTTTATATTGGCTTTGATGAAAACACTGTCAGATCTTCAGAAATGTACAGACTGATAGCTATTTAAATCATAAACTGTTTAAATCAAGTGCTGTTTATCTGGACCAGTGGTTCTCAACTGTTTTGGATTCAAGGCATCTCTCATTAGGCTTGAGACACCTTGGAAAATGCCAACTTTTAGTTTTCACTCCTTCTTTGATTATGAAAAAATAATAGAGCAATTTTTCTGTTGCAAAGAACTCAGAGCAAAACTGGTCAGAATATTTTTGACACCGTGGATTCCTAGTTGTAATCTTTGGGTTTATCATGACTTCTGTGAGTCAAGTTTGCACATCTAACAGTGCCAACATTGCATGGGACCCCACCTCACCCTTGAAAGGCTCTCCAAGCACCCCCAGGTGCTACGGCACCCTAATTAAGAATCACTGAGCTTGACTGACCTCAGTCCGTTCTCGGTGGTAAATGACTGCTTCAATCTGTTAATTTGACCACAGTAACTGCTCAGGTTCATCGATAGTTGGCTTTTTCTGCCTGACATGAAACTTTTAAACCAATTAGTTTGATTTTTCTACCTTTGCTACAGATGAGTAAAAACATCAGTGAAATCAAAGACTCCCAAGAAAATCTTTACTGCTTTTTGGATCAGTGCCTAGCAGAGCTAATGAAAATTATCTGTAGCACAGCCCTCAGATGGCTCAGTGGAGCTATGGTTTCTGTCTTCAAAGATAAAAGTGATTTACTCTTTATCTTTGTAAATTACTGTAGTGCCACTCCCCCAGGACAGGTTGCCTATAGTACAGTCATCACTAATGACTTTTCCTTTGTTTTAAGGTGTTCAATGTTTTTATTAAAGTGCATATAGTTGTAGGCTTGGGGTCTTTTTTAACTAAAAGAAAACAGTTATACATGCTAAAGCTATACTATCTTGAGTTGTGAAACTATCAGATTTCCATTTTGGGTGATAGTTTTGCCTATTTCTCCCTCCAATCTTATTTGGATACTACTGTATTTCCTGCCTTAAACTATCATTCATGGTTGCTATGCAGTGTTCAGAAGCTGCCATATTCCTTGAGGTGCCTACCTTGAAGTGGAGGAGGGCAAGACATTGAAAGTATCATCTGAGTTATGGTCCACCTAGTGCTGTAGAAAAGGTCTACCTTCCCTAGGAATTCTATTTTGAAAGTATTTAAACGGTCTTCACAATGAAGTGTAATGCATATAGCATTGGGGGAATATGTGCATTGTTCTCGTCCCCTGTGATGTAGTTTACAGATCAGCTTTGCAATAAAAAAATCCCAGCCTTTATATTTTGTGCATGTTTTTTCCAGAGCTGTGTGGGAGACTTCCCATTATTGATTTAAATTCTGCATTTCCACATATCATTCTATTGTGCCTGAACTATAGTATATTTAGAGTCTTACTACTACAGCAAAATATATACTAGGATTTCTCTGAGTCATGCTGACTCATACACGGATTGACAATCAACTGTAGCAAACATTCAATTCACAAAAGATCTACAGCTCAAAAATACTTTGTAAGTTTACTTTTTTGCCTGAATCTGCCATTCTTTTTGGGGCATTGTGCCTTCACATTCCTTCATCCACAAGTGTCTATTTTAACTTTTACAACACTACCAGTTATTTTCCTGGCAGTATTTTTAAGACCATTTTTTGGGCATGTGTCTATATTGGTTTTGGCATATAAGAATTCATTCTAGTCTGTCTGTGGCTATTAAGGTAAACTAATTAATGCTTCGTGTGTGCACGTGTGGTGCATGTACACACCCATGAGATGTCCTAATTAGAGTATTTCCCACAGAATTATGACCTGAGATTTGAATATCTGAGAGGCTGAACGATTCACGGTTAATAGCCTAAACTCCCAGGGGAATTGTGGGTGCTCATAACTTTCCAAGAGTCTCTCAGCTTCCTACAGACTTGACTAATAAATAGAGAGGCTTTAGAATAAAAAACCTATGGTACACAATATAAGTTTCTTACATTATGCTGTATCGTCCTTGAAACCAATAGGATTTAGAACTTAACATGTGCAAAATATGTCTGTTAAAATCACCAAGGAAATGCTTCATTTAATGCTGATATTGTTTATTACATTGAAAAGCCTGGAAATTGCTACAGGCAATCCTGAATTTCTTACACAGAGGAAAAAAATTCTCTCGACAGCTTCATGGGGAGTTTTACCAGAGAATAAACACACTTCAAGATATCTTCTGTTGTTATTTGGCCCTGAGTTTTGAAAGCTTGTCTGCCATAAGTATTTCGTATTTTCAGTTGCTGGTTTGTTGGTGTTTTTGTCAAATTACATTTTATTGTAATTTTATCTGACTTTTTGTTTCTCTTTAGGATCATTTCTTTTTACCGAGAATTTGTCGTCGACTTCATGCTGTCCTGGCAGCTGTTTCAACTTCAATGTTGATTTTATCCAATCTAGTGTTCCTTGGCGGAAATGAAGTTGGGAGGATCTACTGGGACTGGATCTTTGTGAAAGGCAAGTTATTTTTCAAACTTTTCTTTGAGACTACTCGACCAGACCCTCATCTCAATACCAAGGTGTAAATTTGCATATATTTTTTTCCTTTTATTTTTTTTTAAATTCAAGTTTTAGAAAAGCATAAATATCTGCTTTATATGTAAAAAACAAGCTATACAAACAATAAGTAATATAAGAACAAAGGAAAAAGGAGGGCAGAAGGAGGAATAGAAAAAAAAGAGAAAAGTATGCCATGAGCTATCGAAATTTGGACAAGAAGTCCTTCCAAATTGCACTAAACTTTTCAAAGCAGCTAAGCTGGCTAAATACAACTCTATACATGCCAGCTGTGCCATCTCACTGTATTAGATTTCAGCCTTTGGAGATGTCCTACTTTTCCAATGCAGCAATATAATCCCTTGTGTTACAAGTAAGGCCTCCTGTAAGAAATGTTATTTAGGAAGGATTCAGCCCAGACTCCCAAGAACACACATTTGCCAGAGCTATGTTCAAAACCATATTATCTCTAGTTATATTTTATTTCCAAAAAGAAGTGTTGAGCATGACCAAAACAAGTGGAGCTGCTTCAGGTAACAGGGCTCTCAGCCACAGGGGTGCATCATACCCAGAGTGCAGCCCACAAGCCCTGGGGATCATGGCTGCTGTGCTCCCCAAGGCTCAGGGGTATGTGAAACCCACAGCCCACACAGGGCTCTTGGCTCCAGCTTCACCTCCCATCAGTTGAGGGACTCTTGATTCTAGCTGTGCATGTCCCCATGGCTGGGAGCTCCTTTTGCAAAGAGGCCTCCTTGCCATGTGAGCCTGTTTCTTGCCAGTGCAAAGGGAACCCAGAATCGGGCTCTCCCTGCATCACCAGTAAGATGTGATTGGCTCTAATGTGCAATCTCACAATCACACTTCCTGCCAAAGGGCCTTTAACATATAACATACTTCAGAACAGACATACTAAATTCAACTCATCTTAAGCACTCTAAGAAAGGAAACCCATGAAAAGGAGATCAAGGTTCTGTGTGTAATGAGTGTTGGCATTTGGAGTCAGAGTTAAGTAATGATTAATCAAATGACTTTCTGATAGATCTATTTACATGAAGGCCTGGTTGATATTCATTATAGGGATGTTACTTCCTTTTTCACATTGTGGAAGTACTAACAGGTTCCTACATAATAAGCTCCTTAGTTATATATAGTTTCTTCTGCTTCTGTAGAATTTGTACAAAATTGCTTCCCTGTGTAACATCTCCTGATATTGTTCTTCTGTGATCATAGAATCATAGAAAATTAGTGTTGGAAGGGATCTCAGGAAGCCATCTAGTCCAACCCCCTGCTCAAAGCAGGACCATCCCCAACTATATCATCCCAGACAAGACTTTGCCTACCAGGTCTTACAAACCTCTTTGGTAACTTATTCCAGTGCTTTACTACCCTCCTAGTGAGAATTTTTTTCCTAATACCTACCTGTGGTGGAGCACCTTTGGGGTACTCGCCACTTTAGGGCTCTCACAGGCTCTGAGGGGAGCCTGCTAAGATCTTAAGTAGCACCACGACCTGCTACTCCAGGGGAGGAGTGAGAGTCCCCTGTGAGACCCTGGAGCACCAGTTGTAGTGTGAGGTACTCCAGCTCCCACAACCGGGTGGGTTAACCCCTGGTATGGGCCAGAAGGTGGGCCCAAGAGAGTGAAGGGGCTAGTGGCAGAGGCCTGAGGTAGAATACCCTCGACTGGTCAATGCTGGGGCCAGGACCAGGAAGGTCGAAAGGGCCAGGGGCCCACCGTGAGGGATGCTCAGAGCAGAGGGCCTGGGGTCCAGCCTGGCCTTGGAGGTGAGGCCAGGACCTGTGTGGCCGAAGGTCCTGGGGGGACCACACCCAAGAGAGGAGATAGCTACAGGGAGCTCAGCAGCCCAAATGATGACGGAGTAGGCCGCCTGAGTGGAGGGATCAAAGGGGAGTCCTGATAGTAGGATTCTGGAGCCTAGTGTGGGACTGGTGGGACTAACAGCTTGATGCCATCTGCGAGGCATGGGCTGTGGTGATGGGGAGTTTCAGAGCCGCAGATAGCACCCCCTAGCATCAGGGCATAAAATGGGCAGCCTCCTGCTTTACTGACATCCTAATTAATAAGAACAAGGCATGGCAAGTGAATCAAGTGGGGAGGCGTGCCCAAAGGCAAGTGGGGAACCTAGCACTGTGGCTAGGCAGGGAGCCCCACTTTGCCACGCTAACCTAAATCTCCTTGGCTGCAACTTATGACCATTGCTCCTTCTTCTGTCATCTGCCACCACTGAGAACAGTCTAGCTCCATCTTTGGAATCACCCTTCAGATAGTAGAAGGCTGCTATAAAAATCCCTTCTCTCTTCTCTCCTGTAGACTAAATAAGTCCAGTTGCCTAAGCCTCTCCTCATAAGTCATTTTTCCCAGCCCTCTAACTATTTGCATTGCCCTCCATTGGACTCTCTCCATTTTGTCCACATCCTTCCTGTAGTGGGGAGCACAAAAATGGACACAGTACTCTAGATGTGGCCTTACCAGTGGTGAATAGAGGGGCTTCCCTCTGTCTGCTCCTAATAATACAGCCCAGAAGGCTGTTAGCCTTCCTTTCCACAGAGGCACACTGTTGACTCACATTCAGCCTCTCATCCATTATAATCCCCAGGTCCTTTTCTGCAGAGCTGCTGCTTAGACAATCAATCCCCAACCTCTGCTGGTGTGTGGAATTGTTCTGTCTTAAGTGCAGGACTTAACAGTTGTGCTTGTTGAGTCTTGTGAGATTTCTTTTGGTCCAATCCTCCAATTTGCTGAGGTTTTTCTGAATCCTATCCCTACTCTCCAGTGTATCTACTACTCCCCCCAGGTTGGTGTCATCTCCAAACTTGCTAAGGGTGCACTCCATCCCATCTTCCAGGTTGTTGATGAGGATATTAAACAAAACCAGTCCCAGGATCAACCCCGGGCACTCCACTTCATACTGGCTGCAACAAGATATCTAGCCATTACTTATTACCCTTGGAGCCTGACAATCCGACCAGTTTTCTATCTACCTTACACTATCATCCACCCTGTACGTCCTTAGCTGGCTTGCAAAAATGCTGTGGGAGACCATATCAAAGCCTTCCTAAAGACAAGGTATATCACATCCATTGCTCTCTCTGCATCCAGGCAGACATGTCATCATAAAAGGCAATCAGGTTGGTCAGGTATGATGTTTTATGGCCCACCTGTAAAGCTCAAAGAACCCACTTAGGATTCATTCTTTTAAGAGGATACCTTTCAAAGACTAACTACCAAACATTTTATTATATTGTACTGTAAAAAATACATATTTCATTTTGTCAACACCCACAGATAATGTCAACAATATAGTACATATTTGTTTTAGCTACATATTTATTTTAGTTACTTTAGTTAATTGGCCTGAAATGAAGTGCTGATCTACTTTCCTGAAAATCCTTGTGTCAAGTTAAATTTGGATGAGGGTAGTGGTTCTCTTCTTCCATCCTTGATTGGTTACTATTAGTAGAGCTTCTGGTGTTCACAGTAGGGGGCACTACTGTGCAGAACCACCCACCTCACTGTGCCAGGCCCAAAACCACGCTTGGAGTCTCCCTCAGGGAGCGTACAGCTGGCTGCCCCACTTCCTGGAGAACACCCACAAACCTGGGGTAATGCTGCCACCACCCGGGCACTGGTCTCTGGTAGGGCTCTGTGGAACCTGGGACACACAGACCCTGCAAACCTTGTGGGTGGTTTGTCCACCATAATATTTCTGGGTGCTTCTTTCAGCCCAAAGCATCAGGTAGAACTGAAGGAAAATAAAAACACAAACTGTGCTGGCCAAGCAACGGGGGTGGGAAGGCTTTTTCTCTCCCCCCTCCACAGTAACACAGCAAGGCAAGCTGTAACCTGACACCTTTATTCATCAGAGGGAAGAGAGGGGAGTAGTATGAGGAAGACAGAATACACTTTGAGCAAACATAAACCAGTCAATCCCCAGCCTCTACTTAGCAAGTTTGGTGATAACACCAAACATAAGTATGTGAGTCAGTACAGAGATTGGACACAGTGGTCCATTTAAGATGCGACTGGCCTGCACATAAAAACTCTTGGCTCTTCCAGGGGTTTTTTACTTACAGAAAATCTCCAGACAGAAGCCTGGGGCATTTGCTTGCTGTGTTCAAAATGCCCCCACTTTCTATAGGAATTTATTTGTCCAGGTCACCAAATTGACCAGCTGCAACCAAGAAGAAAACCAGGAGAGAGAGGGGTCACTTGGGTTGACCCAACTGAATGGCAGAGGGAGGGGGATTGGATTTCTTCACAGAGCTCACCAGATTAGATAAAGAAGAATGAAAAAGACATGAGCACTGCTAGAAGTTACTATTTATTAGTAAATGAATATAAACTTCAGTAGGGCTTCTATTTCTAAAAATGATACCTACTGAAATTAGTTATTACATGTCTTGAGGATGCTATAGAGAATGTATGTAAGATGTTTGAAAAATATGGATGCATCCATCAGAGTGTTTAGCAGTTTACCTAAAGCAACTTTTGTATCTGTTAAGAGGCAGGCATATATGTCTACTGAGTATTTATAGGTGTTCTATTTAATTTAGATAAGCAATTGATTGGGTTTGTGTTTGTCTATTAATAGGAAAGATTTTATCTAATGGTCCCATTTGTTGTAATTCTCCTCCATTCAGCTCATGTTGTCTCATCACTGCTGCAGGAGGAGTTTACTGCTAAGTTCTTGAATTGCATCATTTTAAAGAATGTGAAATCTTTGCTCAGTGGAGCCTGTCTACTGCAGCGTGAAATGGGTATTTTATACTACAGCGTTAATAAGCAGTTAATAAGTTAATTACCACCAGTGTAGGGATGCAGTCAGGTGTCGGGTAAAGTGGAAGCAGTAGTTTCCAGTTTATGATAGCAAATGCATGGCTACTGGCAGCAGCAGCTTTTTGTTTCATCCAGCCCCGCACCCCCACAAGTTGGTGCCTAGGGTGGTTGCCCCTATCACACCCCTCTCCTCCAGTTACACCACTGTTAATAAGGAATATGTCGCAGATGTC